GGGCAAATGGTTCCCGGTTTTTGGGGGGGTTTCCCCTTTAAAGGGTTCCCCCGGAAAGGGGCGAAAAATTCCCTTTTTGGGAGTTTATGGGGGCCCCCCCCCCCCCCCCCCCCGAATTCTATGCGCACACCCCACTGCCATGATAGTCAAGACCACCGCGGCGACCGAATTTCTTTCAAATGAAGGGGGGGGGCGATAGCAGGCAAAAGGAAGAATTCTGCCTCTTGCACGCAGTCTCCATGGAGGGCACGCAGCAGTGTGCCTATTCTCGTTTTGGGTTCTCGATTCAAGTGGGAAGAGTGAACACGCGCCAGGACCATGTGGTGCAATCAATCGTGGGCATGACAATCTCCCCCGGGGGTAACAAGCGACAACACGAAGAAAGGACACATCTGATAATAAGCACCGCTTTCGGGGTGGAGGTCGTGGTCGAAGGAATCTGTAATACTAGGTCGCCCTACTTCGATGGAATTGCTCTTTTCGCCAACTGCCTGTTCTCCATTGGAAGCGGAGGTACAATAAAATCCTGCTGTCGTCACGAAACGCAAGAAGGAAGAGAACACCCAATCAAACGGGTAACACGGCAACACACAAACTGCGCACAACAAAATACATGCCGTACATCCTCTAACTGCAACACACCACACCACAGGAACCGCACTGGCCTCTACCCTCGTGAAAAAGGCAAACCACTATACTACAATAGGGAGGGCTACCTACTAACATTTCAGGAAGCGGCACCACCGCCACTGGTCCCCGCGCCCCAAACCCCAGGCTCTCGCGATGACGAGGAGAATAACAGGAGCGTCACCGGCAGCCGCTGACACTACGACGTCGGATGTCTGGCGTGTCGACCGAGAAGGGCAGTCGGAATCCCACGGCCGGACGCTTGCCCTCGACACCACACCAGAGTGTACACCTCCTCCTCGGTGCCCCGCCCCCCCCCGCGCGCCCATGCCGGATACATACACACGCAAGCGCAATGTGCCTGTTACCCCGGCGCGATCTGATTTTATGTGATTGTTCCATCAAGAGACAATAACGACTACGAAGTACTATTTATCAATCTGTGTCGTCGAGATTGAGCTGCAGCGCGTCCTTTTCCTTGTACTCCAGCCCCAGCTGGCGGCACACGGCCCACCCCGGCACGAGCGGCACGACCACGACCGCCATGTAGCCGCAGCGGGCCCTGAACAGCACCACCATCTCGGCCTTGGTGTCGTAAGACTCCACGGCGGCCTCGAGGGGACTTCTGATCACCTAGAAAAGATAAAACATTTCATGACATATTCATTCTCATCGTCAAACATTCCATCACATATTTTTTGGTCAAAGCTTTGAAACGAGAGACGTACCTTACCTGAGAGGCGCAGTCCCAAACGGGGACGGCACCCGGAGGATTGATTGCTGCGAAGAAAACAAGCTTAAAAGGTGTGGCTAGCTAGGTATTGTTGCTGCTATTCACTAAAAAGGACACGTCGCCAAAAAAAAAACGTCCGACCTCTCGACTGGGAAGAGCCGTACTTGCAAGACACGAGAAAAAATACAACCTTTGATTCTCGCCAGTTGCTAACTTGTTGGCGGATATTGGCGAGGCACGCAGGGCGGAAAGAGGCGGCCTCCCCGATAGAGGCAGGGGGGAAGGAGGAGGCGTGGCAACGCTTTGGTGGCCGTGGAAGCAGACTACACGCAGCAGCACAACTTCAACCACGACCACCACCACCACCAACAATAGCAACGGCGACAACCAGGGCATGGGAAAAGGGGCGCAAAACACGTAGGACAAGGGCTTCACTCACCCCGAGTTCAAAGTCGTCCTGCAGAACGGCGTCCACGAACTCTCCCATGCTCAGGAAGTGGAGGATGATGCTGCGGTCAAGCCTGCGCCCGTTGCTGTTGACGGGTCGCAAGTACTCCAGCTCCAGCACGGGGTTCGGTGTCTGCTTCGGCAAGACGGAATAGGAATGGGCCGGGTCGGTGGGCTGTGTGACCTACTAATACATGTATCACAGCACCTGCTCCCCTCCTTACCACCACATCCCTCCGCTGTTCCACCTGCTGTTTCGTTGAGCACGATGCCCCTACCCCCTCCCGTGCTTTCCTCTTCGCGCGAACGCGCCGCCGCTGCCAACGCCTTGCCTCGTCTTGAAGCAGCCGAGCTTCGCAACCGCCACCTCCTCGACCTCATCACTCGTTCAACCATGGTCACCACCGACGCCCGTGGTCAAGCTGGGGACCATTCCTGTTGCATCCCTTACGCTACATGAGCAAAAGACACAGATGAAACCCGAACGCTCAGAAGGCGCAGGGCTTGCCGAAGGATAGTCTGACGGACCGACCCTACGGTGAGACACATGTACCAAGCAAACGAAAGCAACGCGCAAAAGCTGTGGCTGACGAGCAAGCAAGGGCAGCAACTTGTTCAAAAAACAAGCAACTTACACCAAGCAGACACGAAAAATAGCACCAGAAAGCGCAACTCCGTATGCCGATAACGCCAAGTGTAACAGAACTAAGGGCGATCTGGAAGACCCGTGATGAAGAACCCATCTGTACTACAGTAGCTCGTGTGGAACAGCAGTGCAGCTGTTGCCCTGTCAACCGGTAGGAACGACACCGGTGGGGCAGGATCGGTTCCCTCAAGCAGGGGCTACTGGATCCTGTCCCCTGATTCGTCCTTCCATCGGGGAGTTACACCTCCCCGCTCCTTCTAGAAGGAATGGAATCCCTTCTACGTTTTGCATACAGAACCCTAAACTCAATACCCCGCAACGCAATGGTTGTGCGGTCGCGCAGCAGTAGATATGCGTACAATCGTCGCAGAAATTCGAAAAGTGTACATAAGATTTCACTCCCATATGACGTGTGCACAATATGCTTCTTTGACCTTGACGTGTCAGTGGGAGGCAGTGGTACTGTACTGCACTGTAGCAGTTCGTTTTCAACCCAAAGAGAAAGCAAAAAAACGTGGAAGAGAATTATGACGTCACCGATTGTTTTACCTGTACGAAAACGAAGCCTCTACCGAGCGCCTCCCCGTGGCACACCGCGAACGGACACAGGTAGAGCCGCACCCGCCCGAGAACCCTCGCCACCACGCTCTGTCTGTCGAGCGGCGCCCGGCCACCCCCCGCGTCCCCGCCTCGCATCTCCTTCAGCTGGCCGCACATGGCCTTGTGATCCTTCTTCCAGTCGATCACCTTTCGCGACATTTTTCACCACGTGCACCACCGAAAGAAAAGGAAGCGAATTGAAGAATGCCGCGAGAGAGTGACGCCATTGTCGAAGTACACGATAGTATCTAAACGGGCGTTTTTTTTCATGTCTTCGCCGGAAAATCTCATCCATAGAGCGATATTGTTGGTAGCAAGCTGGGATTCCCAAGCGGGATGAGTCCACCAGTGTCAGCACTAGAGCCGCAGCACTAGAGCCGCAGCAGTAGTGGCAAACCGCAAGTGCTGTGACCGCGAGGCCAGAGCCCGGGGGCGGGGGACGGGTGGTAGGACGTGGAAGGTATCTAGGATACGGAGAAGGTGTGAATACTTTAGTCACCTGACACTCCCGGCTGCAGTACTTGGCGCCGCACTTGGAGCAGCAGCAAAACGGACGCCCCGTGGGCTCCTCCGTCTTGTTGCACGCAGCACGTTGACAACTCGCCAAGCATAGCCCCGGCGGAGCGCGTGCGGTGGCCTTCTCTCCTGCCAGCTGAGCAAAAAAAAAGAAAGAAGCCGGAAGGAGACGGAATCGAGATAAGTGTGGCGCGGTTGGGCAGCCAGCTGGGGGTACGTGTTGGCGGCGTAGTGTGCTGTGCCGGTCGCGTCGATATTTCCGACGATTTGATGATTTCAGCTAAAATGGAAAGGCGCGCGAGGAGTTGCTGTGCACAATGCTACACTGGGCTGCTGTGACTATTTAAGCATTTTATGCGATTGGCTGGTGGACTCCAAGAACGGATCATGCATGGAGGCCGACAGACACAAGCTTTCGATTTGACCCCCATCACACGTTGGTCGTACGTGTTTGACGGTGACGGGTGCGCGTGTAACATTGTATGATGAACCTGCTTAGGTCTCCATGCAGGCTACATGTGTAGATACGCCTGCTTAGTTCTTATCTTTGCACTATCTATAAATGTACTGTAGATGCGCCAGCTCTACCAGCAGTAGCAGGTCCTCCTGTAGCCAACATGTTGTAGACTACTGCTGTACAGCAGTAGATACTGCTTAGGTTAACGTCGCGATTGCTCAGGTTGACCCCTTTCGAGCCGCTTCAAAAATCTATTGGTCTTTGAGTACAAGTACAGCAAACGTAGACCGCAACGGAACATTGGGCTCGTCGGCTGCTGCCGTTCGGCTGGAGCAGTAGATAGAAAGGCGGGGCCTCTGCGCTGCTTACCGAAGCCGGCACAGAGCAGGCGACACGGACAACGACGACCGCCATGCATGATGTACATGTTGCGTGATTTGTGTGCGGGATGGGGTTGCATATACAAAAAAGATCTGGTATTAGTGCAGCTACAGAGCTACAGAGCTGCCGTGCAATAACTACGAGGTTGGGGCCGTGGGTTCTCTCGCTTTCTCTTGTGTCTCTCTCGCCCTCTCCCTGCTCCCTGCCCCCGCCGCTTTCTCACCGCATACATGAGATCCAGCTCAAATTTAAATACCATGCCGTCCGCGCGCGTCTTCTCTATGTCGCTGATTATCCGCATGCCCTTCTTGATGCTCTCGCAGACCTCCCCCGACACAACAGCAGTCTTGTCACCCTTGACGCCCTCCTCCTCTTTGGGTTCCGTCGCTGTTGCAGACGTGGGTGTCGCCGACGTGCTACCTTGCCCTTCCGTACCCATGTCGACCTCGCTTTTTGGCACACTTTCCTCCTCGCCAGCAGACTCGTTCCCTCTGCTGCTGATTCTCTCCAGGAGCCTCTCGGGGCGCCTCTGTCCCTGTCTCTTATGGTACGTCCCTCGTGACGAAATACCGGCAGCGGTTGGGGCAGACGGAGGGGGTGAAGAGACACCCGGGGGGAGGGGGTGTCTGGATGTCCGGTGGATGGCGTGTGACGGGACTGTGAGACGGGGCACCGTGAATCAGCGAACGACGCTCGCTCTCTCTGTCTCTCTGCTGTGCTGCGTCCCCCGCCCACTCTTTGCTCGGGAGCTCGGGAATACCGAACACGATGCGTACGAGAGTGATAGTGCCATGAGCTGAAGCAGGCCGTTTGTGTTTTTCTCCGGGGTTCTGATCAGCCTGCCGTCGGTCTCTTAAGGAGTAACGATATCGATCAGTTAACCAGCCAACTCCGGAGCAGTAGCAGGTCGCAGATCGTGAAGACAGCGACGCACTAAAAAATACATACACGTGCTGTGCACATACACTGCTGTGCTGTGGAGTAGTCTTTCTGCGAACATGTCACAGCAGCCGCAGCAGCAGCTTGCCGGAGCGGTTGTGGTGCTAGCCTTGTCGATCGTCACGCTCGCCGCCGTGCTTGCGAGCATGGAGCGGGGTCGGTCACGGCGGCACGCGAGAGGGTGCACCAACCATAGTCCACATGCGGCGGTTACGCGAGGAGAGGGCGCCAACCCTGAGAGTTTCCCCGCAGCGCCTGCACTCGGGTCGACTGCGGAGGGAAATGGAAAGGTCGTGGGGGTGGTGGAAGCGAGCACACCGCCCGGTGGTGGTGCTGCTGCAGGCGAGCGGACTCCTTCGGGCACGGAGGGTTCGGCGGGCCGGCGGCTGGAAATCCTGGTGCACAACATCTCGCACAAGGATATGGTTCTGTCGCTCAGAAGGACGCGAAAGGCTGCCGCCGCGATGCCTCGACGGCCTCCGACCGGGGAAGAGGCCATGAGCAACGTCATCGATGCGGTGAGTTGCACACAATCATTCGGAATTTTTTGCACAACATGCGCCGTCGTCCGCATTCCCTGCGACGATAGAAACAATTGTGACATGCTGTCTTTTATTCGGCTTACATACATGTTCGAAGCAGTTCAAGGTTTTACATGAAGCGATTCGACATTTCAAATTACATGAAGACAATCAAAGTTTCTAAATGGAAGATTCTGTTTTTCTCGCCCCACGCAAGAAACCGAATACGTGAAAAGGTGTCGCGGTCCGTACCCTGGATCTCCTCTTGCTGTTGTTGTATTTCGTTGGAATGCGTGTGGCGTTCCGCTAATCCGCTAACCTGCAACTCATGCGTACCATGAAGTCCGCAGGACTATCTTTCCGCGCGTGAGTGGCGTGGTCTAAGTCGCCGCCAGTATTTACAGTTCCATGTGCGATCCCCGCTCTCGATCTCACTACTCTCGCCCCCGTCGCACGCTCTCAGCGCTTGCTCTCATCCAGTACTCATCTTAAGCAGTCTTCAAGACTTTGGCCTCCTCCTCCTTGAACGGAATTTTTCGACTAAAGTATCTTGGGGCCAAGTGGACCACACTGCCGCAGGCGGACTCTGGAATACAGCAGTCACACCTTCAGTACGAAAAACTTTCTCTCTATTGTATTGGCTGCAATATAACCGAACGGCTTTTCATATCACCACTACATCTCGGCCCCTCCCTTCCTACCAGCGCGCACATGCACCACGCTCTGCTCAAAAACACGCCACTATGGCGGCCGACACTTTTCACTGTACATGGTACATGCGCGGCTCGCTTGTTCGAGGTTGGCGGCGGACGCGTGCCAGCCGAAACCCTTGCACCGCTACGCGCGATCTGTTGCTTCAACGTCCGGCCGAAATCACTCGCGGAACACGAACGGTAAAACTGCTGCGTGCGTGTGCGTGTCCGCCGACAGGCCGACACGGCGCTCGCACGGCCGAAGTTCAGCCTCTTCAAGCGATCGAGCGAACTTATCCTGCACAAGCTGCAGGAGATACGGGCGGCGGGCGGGAGGGAGCCCCCGCCGGCCGTGTGCCCGGTGTACCGCCGAGGGGAGCCCGACTTAAGGTCCGGGCCGCCCTCTGCTCCGCGAGAGAGGTGAGAAAAACGGAAAAGAACGACGGGGGAGGAGCAGCGAAAAGGAGAGAAAAACATACATTGTGTGTGTAGAGGTGTTGCGACCGAAAACGCTACAGCGGAATTTATTTCACGGGGTGTAGGCGAACGGATCGCGCCCCCCTCTCCTGCAAACGTTCGCATACCCCAAAGCCTGGTTTCAAGATCAGAAGGGAACAAAACGCCGCGATGCCGTCTGTTCTTGGAGCTCTTTTCGATACGTACAAGGAGGTGCGGGTTTTGAGGTTGCTGGTAAGCCTTGCAGGTGTGCTACAGCTTGGGGGGCAGACGAGACGGCGTTTGCTCAGGGGTCATGCATGCGTCAACCCAGTCGCGGTGAGTTACTTCTCCCGGACGCCGCTCCCAGTTCCAAGCGATGGACAACACGATACAACCAACACTCAAGCTTCGCAACCACAATTGATGAACGGAACGAGATTGTTTTCTCGGGGATCTCTGTTTTTTTTTTTTTGCGCCTGGTCACTGTCTCTCGTAGCCCCGCTCACGAAACCTCGCCGCTTGGCGCCTTTCTTCGCAGCGTGTCCGTCGGGTTCGACCTGGACGACACCCCGATACCGATCTTCGACCTGGCCGGCTACCGCGTCCGCAGCGAGGACCTAGACCGCCTCGCCCCCGCCGCCGGCCGCCGGAGCTCCTCGAACCTCCTGCGCAAGGTCCTGAACAGGAGGGATTCTTCTGGGCTGTTCCTGGCCGGCGGCGGCGGCGGCGGCGGCGGTGGCGGCGGCGGTAGCGGCGGTGGCGGTGGAACCGGTAGATTACTCCCCGTGCAAGATCCCGGACCAAGGCAGCTGCTGCTGCAGCAGCAGCCCCAGCTGCAGCAGCTGAAGGAAGACGGGAGTGGGGACGGGGGATGCGGCGGCGGCGGCGGCGGCGGGGGGAAAGGCGAAGGGGAAGCGTTCATCAGCGGGGTGTACTTCCCGCTGCTGTCCGTCCTCATGCCCAAGTGGATGGAGCTGCTGGCCAGGAGCGGGGACGACGTGGATTCGTCCAAGACGGTGCTGCTCGTTAGCGGCGTGGGACAGCCCCGCAACGAGGAGCACCGCCTGGAGGACAACTCCACCGAGGTGAGAAACGAGCAAGGTTGCGCCGTCTTGTTTCGGCCACGATTTCACGCCCAACCAAACGTTTCCTGCCTTGTCGGCGTCTCGCGGCCGCCGTTGATTGCAGCCTGGCGAACAGCGGCGGTGCTTGCTCTTTTGTTCCGGGAGCTTTTTACCGTTGCGCTTCATCCGTCTCTTGGTGTCTTCTTGCTCGGGATGGTCCGTGCCCTCCCCGTGCCGACTCGCATCCTCCTCCTACGTTTCCGCATGGGTGGTTCCTTCGCACCCTCTTTCTCTTCCCCCGAGTGCTGTCACTGCTGTCTACCGTCTTCCAAAACGATCGCTTGCCCCGAAGTCGTCCATGAGTAGTGGTAGGGCTGAAGGCCGCGTGGAGCGTGCTCCCGGTTGAAATCAAGCCGCATGCTGTTCCTTAAGGTGTCGAACCCCTTCTTGTCATGTCCTTTTCCTTTCCCCTGGGATGTCCCTTGTGCGGCTAGAGAATGGGCGCAGTGTGGCACAGGATAACACTAAGTGCGGCTAAAATCCACTAGATAGCGACAGCGTGAACAAGAAGTGATCTCTGCTCTGCTTTGTTCCCTCGTGACCATCCCTACGCGTTTGTTTCTCTATCTCGCGTGATGGCGCGTTTAAATATCTCGGTTACGTTACGACATCACGGGCACAGGTGACAGCGGTCCTGATGGAGGCGTTCTTGAAGAGGCACTTCCCCACCGTGCGCGTCGTACGCGTGCACTCCGACACGAATATTTTCAGGTGTGTAAGTGCTGCTGCTGCTGTTGTTGTTGCTGTTGCTGTTGCTGTTGCTGTTGCTGTTGCTGTTGCTGTTGTTGTTGCTGTTGCTGTTGCTGTTGCTGTTGCTGTTGTTGTTGCTGTTGCTGTTGCTGTTGCTGTTGCTGTTGCTGTTTTGTTGTGGTTGTTGTTTGTCCTTTCGTGATCTAAACTTCCAGCGGTAGGATTGTCTGCCTCTCACCGCGTAAGCTTACGTATCAGCGGTTTGAATCATCTTCGAAACGGCCGCGTTTCGTGTTCCTCTCTGCCTAGTCTAAACAACGCGTGTGTTTCGTTCATGGCATGCTCCCCGGTGATGTTGTCCTTGAAATGGATCAGGTATGACGACAACATCCGCTTCGTGAAGACGGAGCTGTTGCCCCTGCTCAACGCCGAGCGCAGCCAAATGGCGGAGAAATACGGAGAGGACTGGCAGGTTTGGTGGTTCTGTTGTTGTAGCATTGCTTGTCATGCTGCTCTTGCTGCCGTACTTGTTTCTCGTGCTGCTCTCTTCTCCACTGTTGTTGACTCTCCCTCTCTCCCTCTCTTTCTCTCTCTCTCTCTCTCTCTCTCTCTCTCTCTCTCTCTCTCTCTCTCTCTCTCTCTCATGCCGCCTTCATTTCTGCACCTCTCCGGTTCCTACGCCTCCCCCGTGCGCGAAAGGACATGATGCACATCACCATGAGCTTCGCGGACGGTTCGCCAGCGCGCATTTCCTCCATCAACGCCGCCCTCCGACACTTCAAGCCCTCCTTCATCCACATCTGGGAGCTCAAAACGTTCTGGCACGAGAAGGCTATCTGCGAGGACGACGTGGAGGCGAGTCCATGTTGTACTGTTTTTTTATCCCGATGCCCCAACGGTTCCATGTGTCCTTTTTATTGCCCCACAAGATCTTCTTGTCGCACGAGAAAAATTTTTGTTGTTGCATCTTCTGCGGGGGACAACGACGTCCGAGGGATTTTGCCTCCGAGGGCCGGCGCAAAGGATGTTTTGATTCGTTCACCGCCAGGGGGTTTCCAATGTAGGGTGTACGGCGCGGACACTCCCTGAAGGTACCATCTTCCATCTTGCACGCTATGTTCACCTTTGTTTGCGGGTGTGTGTATCGTATCGCGCATCGTTCCAGGGGATACCTTGTGCTGCAGTCCGTCCGCCGCATTGAACACGCTGGCTGCCGTTGTTGGGTGTTTTTGGGGCCCCAAAGAGGAACTGAAAATATTGCCAAGGGGTTCTGTTGTTCTCCGTTGAATGCCGGCTGTGAAAGCGAGGCTGAGGAAGCGATATTTTGTGGACCCATGAAAACAGATATGGAGCTGCTGCGTCGGCAGGCCCCACATTCAGCACAGCTATGTAGCAGTGCGTGACAAATTGTGTGTAGGTGCTCAACAACGTTTTTCCGCTTCGGACTGAAAATCGCTCGACGGCAGGGTTGCGCCTCGTCCCACACCCGCCCACCTCCCTCGGTCTCCTCAGAAATGAAACCTGCGGCGCTTACGGCGTTGCGAGGTATTCGTGCCGACACAGGGCGCATGCCAGCAGTCCTACATCGAGCTAGCCCATCACCGTGTGTGGTCGTAGCACAGGGATGATCCACACCGATTGGCTGATGGCGACGAGAACCCACCCCACATTTCCACGTGACCCGCTAATAGTTTTGTTGTTGTTGTTTGTTTGTCCAGGTGCACACGTTCGAGGACATCGACATGCAGCCCCCGATGCCGGTCTCGGAAGTGGATGCTCCGACGGCCCTGATCATCGCCGAGATGCAACGCCTCAGGGACGACCTGGAACGGGTTCTTGCGGCACCCCCCCGAGGAGGTACCGCTCACCCTCCTCCGCGTCCCCCTTCCCTGTCGCGGGCAACGCACATGTATGTTATTGTAGGAGGCGTGTTCTGTTCCGCTCGCCGACACCAACACTTGTTCTCTCTGCGGACGGAGAGAGCGTGAGATGAGAGTTTTTTACCAAGCAGCAGGCGGCGATGTGTGTTCGCTCTGTCGGGAGGTATGTTTGGGTGTTGTTGTTGTTGTTGTTGTTGTTGTTGTTGTTGTTGTTGTTTCTTGCTTTTGGTCTGGTCCCCTCTGTCGTGAGCGGCAGCCTACACCCGACAGGCGTTCGACGCACCAGCGGGGGATGCAAACGGGGAAGGTAAATGCGCGTCATCTTATTTCTTTTCTCCGCATGTATATATTATGGATTTTCACGCGAGAGGGGTTGAGCAGCAGCCCCTTCCCCCTTTTTGTTGTGTGCACTCACAACTATCTATGCGCTGTTCACCCCAAACGTTGCGAGGTTTTGAAGCTGGAGAGATGTGAATTCACAACACAGAGCAAGAAAGAACGTTTTACGAGACCATGTACCAAGTTCACACCGCTCAGCCATCGAGCTCGACGGGTGATGACGTTTGTTTTTTGCTACTTCTCTCCACCGTGGTGTGTCTGTGTGTGTGTTTCCCGGTGATATCTATGATACCCATGTCTTGTCATGTGTGCTACCCATGTTTCTTGTCGTCACGGCTGGTGTCTGCAGTCAGTCGTCGTGTGTACTGATGCAGCGCTCTCTTGTTTGATGGCGTCGCCTCTCCTTCTGTGTCTACTTGCTTGCTGCTGCTGTCGGCGGCGTGAAAAAAAAAAAGCCGTGGTTGGTGGCGACACGAGAGACGACCTGGCGTCCTTCTGGCTGAGGAAGACGAAGAAGCCTGTTCTTGCGGTTCTCCTTGTGCAGAAGAAAGGAGGCCGGCCTCAGCTCTTCCGCGGAACAAACATGGAGGCGAGTTAATAAAATATGACAAAGACATCATGTTGTCGACGACCGTCGCCAGGACGCCACCCCGCTTCTCTTCCCGCTCCGCGCTCCTTCCTTTGTTTGACGCCGAGTTCCATCACGGCCTTCGTTCGTTGCAGCCACGGCAGGCAGTGTCGTTCTGGCAGAAAAAATATTCGCGCGGTAATTCTGTTTGTTGTGACCATGGTTCGGAGCTCCTACTACGCGGTGGACCCACCGTACCGTGAGCGCTGAATAAAAGTGACGGGGAAAAAAACACAAAATGGTCTAAAGCCTGTACACCTCACTCTCCGACTTCCGCCGCATCCCCCCCCCCCCGACACGCCATGCACGCGTGAAAACATCACAATTCATTCGTGCCGGGGATATAACACACACACGCAACAAAAAAGGTTTCAATGCCCACGGGATCGCTGTGCGCCGAGCGTAACGTCATCGGCTCCGCGCTCACGTCCGACCTGAGCCTCCTCCGGAGAGACATCAAGGCGGTCGCCGTGCTGTCCGTGGCCCACCTGGGCGGACCTCCCGCCTCTACCGCCACCACCGCGGCTGCTGTTCCCATCGACGAAAGAAAAGAAGGCGCTTCGTTGACTGGTATCACGGCTGTCGATAGTGGCGGCGGGCGGAGCGGGTGGCCAGGGGCCGCTGGAATGGGGTCAGCAGTGGGGTCCTCTTTAACAACTTCATGCGCGCCGTCGCCGCTTTCCCTGACGCCGGCGATGAAGGTGTCCCCTAAGAGCGCGTTGTTGCGGACCGAGACGGGGGCGGGGGCGGAGGACAAGGAACGGCTGGAGGGGGTTCGCCAGGTCTGTGTGTTTTTGTCCCTGCGTTCGATCAAGGGAGATTTTTTCCGATGTTGTGTTGGCCACCGTTTGTTGATGGCGTTCGTTCGCGCAACGTCGTCGTTGACAGATTCATCGCACTTGTTTGTTTTGTCTTGTTGGCTATGGTAGGGGTTGGCGAGGTGGGCACGTTAGCCGACGGACCAGGCGGTGGTACCGGTACCACCCCGCTGATCGAACGTGTCGGCCCCGTTTCCCATCTTTTCGTGGGGGTCACTTCTACCCCCCACCCCCTCCTTCGTGAATTTATCGCACCCGCGGCCCTTAATCTTGACCCCCTGTCCCCGCCCATTCGTCATCGGGCTGCCCTCAACAAACAAACCTGCTTTGCGAGGAAGGCACTGTTCGCAGTGGCGTCCGAGACAAGTGCTTCGCCGGCGGCTACGCCAGCAGCAGCAGCAGCACTCGGAGCAGCGGCAGCGGTAGCCGCGGAAGGACCACCCGAAAGGTCTGTTTTTTTGCGGCCGAGCTTGGACGGCACTAACACCGATAGCAACAGCAACAACAGCGTGATCGACAGTCGGCAGCGGCGGCAGCAGCAGCAGCAAGAGGTTGTTGACCCCAGTCCTCCGGCGAACCCCCGTGTCCGGTCGGAATCCTGTACAGACGAACTCCTCGCCGCTGGTGGTCGAGTCGCAACCGAAGAAGAGTTGAGGAGCCTCTCGGGTGGCGGCGGCGGCGGCCTCGGCGAGGGGGGCGGGGGGTGTTGCGGTGCCGCTGAGGGGGGAGGAGAAAATCAGGGAAGGTCACCGGCGGCGCGGAGCCAAGTGTCTCGATCGCAGAGCTTGGACCTGGGCAGGGCAGAGGGAGGGGAGCACCGACAGCCCCCCCCTGGCGGTGGTGCGGAAGAAGAACTTTCCAGGAGGAAGGCGAGAGAAGATTGTTTTTTTTATGAGGCACGTATCTCACCAAGAGCAGATTTATTTGCGTAACGCCTGCCCCCGCCACCAATACCTCTCAGAGTGATTTCACGTAGCCCCCGCACTAATACCTCGCTTCTCCCTCACAACCCTCTTCCTACTTCGTCTTGAGAGTACACGTTGTTGTTGTTGTTGTTGTTGTTGTTGTTATCGTCTCAGGTTCGGAGGAAGACGAAAGTCGTCCGGAGTATCGCATCGACGCCGAAGCGAGGTGTTGGTAGCGGAGGCATCGCCGCCGGCGGTTGGGAAAAAAGCCCCCTCACAGATAGCGGCGGCGGCGGCGGCGGCGGTAGGGGAGATGGTGGTGGTGGAATGTACAGCGACGACCAGGGTGGCGGCGGCGGCAGCAATCACCATCGCCACCCGAGGACGAGCAGAAGCAGCATCGTCGCGCACGTGCCGCCAGAAACTCTGTGTTCCAACCCCCTCAAGCCCTGCGGCGCGTGCATGGAGTGGCTCAAGAAGATCGCGGAGGTGAACCCAGACTTCAAGGTCATCACCTTCACCGACTCTCGCTGCGGAGGCGTGTACATCGAAGACGTGGCCCAGATACCATAGAAGAACGAGGAAGGCTCCGGTTTCTCTCCACCGTCGATTCCACACAGTGGTCCGCAAAGGGCACAAATCTTTGCGCAGCAGGTGGATCACATGATGATTGTTGATGCGGTCAACACAGCATCAATGTGTACGTTGGCGCCGGGAGGCAAGCTAAACGACCAGGCCTTTGGTTGGATGCCTGCAAACAAACATGGACAGGACGCGTAGGGATATTCGCGCGCGTTGGTTGCCGGTCATGCTGTAGGGAGTGCGTTATTCCTAATACTACTGAGTGCAGTTTCTTTCGCGCTGTCGTAGTCTCCGTGTTGAATGAAATCCCGCCGAAACCTCTAGGTGCCAAGTCGGTCGGGTTGTAAATTATGTCGTTGAGTTGGAATGGAATATATGATAAGAGGAGGCGGTGATCCGCTCCTGCAAGGCATCAGAGTACAACACCATCATCTGTCGCAAGCTGTCCACAACAACAATGCCGCTGCCGATCATTCCTCTTGCACTTACTACTTACATAGTGCCCCGCACAGATGGTGGGGGGTGACGCAGCATGTGATTTTCGTGCCACCTTAATTCATTCGTGTTCTACAAGGGGCCCACGATTCACTATATCTTGTCATCAGCGTTTGTTTACAGAGAGAACCAACCGCTGAACGAAGTAGACTACATTGTTGTTGTTGTTGTCTTCTTCACATTGGCATGGTTACATGTATTTGATACCACCAGTCAGTCAGTCAGTATGGGGCAAACCTTCACTGAACTTTGGAGTTTCACTCCAACCCACAAATGAACGCAGGCGGCTCGATCGATGCTACTCTCGTCGTCGATTTTACATGCTCAATCAAGCAGCAACCAAGCGCGAGGAAAGAGAAGATTTACTTTGTCGCACCACGTTGCCGTTATGCCTCTTGTGTAGTAGTGTAGTACGTCTTAAAAAGAATGATTCTTATTGAGAGCGTTCCCGCACTCTTTACTACGTTGGTAATCATTACACGAACGAGATGGACCGCCCCTGAACTGCTTGCTGTTGTGTCTGTATGTATGCATGCATGCATGCGTGGTCAAGGGCGTGTTGCGGGGAAGAAGGCCGATCAGCTGGAGCGCATCAATTGCTTTGATAAATAGAATGTGCGTTGACTGCAAGTAAGCGCTGTTGCCCCGCTCCACTACTGACCCACTTTGTGAAGATGCTGTGGGTGTCGGCGAATTCAACAGTTATGACAACAAGCATGGAGGAACATGAAACAATTTCCCAAGCAGTGCAGTCCCTGCGGCAGAGCACACAGAGCGCGCGAAAACGACGCCATGGATAAGGAGACAAGATGATATTCTTTGCCGAACAAGTTGGTGGCACTCGATGCCGCCGCCGTTTCAAATCTCGATTCATTATGACAATTATAATCTGGTTGTAGCAAGAAAGCTTCCACGAAGCGTGAGAGTGCCTGTATGAAGAGCAAAACAAGCGAAGCGTCCCACAGCACACCCGACACCCAACTGCCTCCCTCTGCAACTGAACCTCCCTCCTCCACCGTCTCAAGAGACGACTGGCTATCGTTTTCGCATCACCAGAACATCGGGAGGGCAACAAGTGCGCGCGTGCTGGTACACCGATCACAGCACACGCTATCCCACGCACACAAGATAAATAGAAAAACGGTCGAAGAAGAGACGAATGCGTGCCGAAACGTGCACAAGACACTCGGTTGAGAAAAAGTGAGAGAATATCAGGTTCTACATGGACGGGCCGTTCAGGCCGACGTCAAGTAGCACATTCCTCCCGTCGGAACGCCGCTTCGTTGTGTTGGAGCCGCCCAAACAAACATGGTATAGATTCAAAGGGAAAGAACAAGTAGAACAAGGAAGAGGGGCCACGTGGGGTGGTGGAGGGAGGGGCGCGCGAGCGCTATGTAGCTAAATGCCCACGCAGACAAGCCTGTTCAATACAACTAAACGTTCGGCTGTGCAAACCTCCTCGAGCCGTTCCATCCACAGTAGTATTACAGATGATTCAAGTTTTGGAGAGGGAGAGGGCAAAAGCCCAAACTCGCTCTCTCGCCAAGCGAATGAAGGCGACTCATTCGGACAAGTTCGATTTTTTTTCAACCTTCACTTGTCCGCCAAAAGCATCGTTTTCGTCCCAAGAGACAAAATCAAGTCAAGATAAAACAGAGAGATTCCGATATACTAGGGCGCAAATGCACCCCCCTGCCTCCCCATACTGTTTGTGCTCACAGTGGCGGAGAAAAAATACCTCGACACGATCAACACGACGCTAAGCAAGAGGATCAAAGCTGTGGCAAGGGGGGGCAAGACTAATACCAGAGGAAACCACACGCACGAAAAGGAGACAAAAAGAGGCAAGGACACCCAAGAAATAAACGTTACTAGGTCAACGGAGCACATCTATAATATCGCCAACTTGTCCGAACCCCGCCCCGCCCGCGTCTTGTATCGCGCGTTCGCGTTTGCTTCTACATCTTCTCTTCGGCATCGCTCCACCCATTCTTTCTCGCACTCGATCGATCGTTCAATCCGACAACTAGACTCAAACAACCACGAGACGAGAACATCTTATCCACCAAACAAGCCTCACCTCTCAGATCTCCTACAATGTACCGATACAGAACCAAAGCGCAAGTCCAGTCAGCCAGTCAGTCAGTCACTCTTTCCAGCTTAAATTTTCAAAGGAGACCTATCAGATACTTCGATCGAATAGAGGACGCTTCTCTTAGAAGCGCACGCTCATGGACTCGCCGCCGACGATCTCGAAGGAGTCGGAGCAGCCGTACACGTCGTCGTCCTCGAAGACACCCACTCGGATCGAGTACATGCCGGACTCGGTGCCCGAGGGGATCACCACGTCGTAGTCGCCCTCTGAAAAATGAAAAACAGGAGAGGAGGGGGTTGGGTTGGGTTGAGTTGATGAGCCTGATTAGTTTTTGATGCGCAAGAACAAACACCAAGAGACCGCTGCAAAACGACACTGCAGTGGCACTGGAAAGTGGACGGGTCCACATTGCCTCCTTGTCAACATCGTTCCTCTCTTCGCAAGTACGAAGGACCCACGCAACCCACACAAACACAACCAAATTCCAAGCAAGTCATGAGCAAACGAGGAAACTAAGTCGGAACACGGGAGACGAAAACCACCTTATTCCAAGGACATCAAAACCAAACCAGAACAACTTCCTGCTTCCTACGTAGTATACACAAGGCAACGCATGAAAATAACTGGGGGACACTGTACGTACGCGAGTCCTTGCACCCGATGGAAGGCTTGTCGCAGATGGTGGTCACGTAGGTTCCGCAGTCGCCGGAGCCACCGGACGAGTAGAGGTCGATAGCGAACCGGTTCACGGAGGAGCCCAAGCCGTTGTCGTAGTCGAACTTTTTTCGGGTTCCAGGACGGCAGGGCAGGGTGGAGAGCACATTTGTGTTGGGGTAAGCGAAAGAGGGTGAGGGGGTGCTTCTCGTCTCTCCAACACCAAACCAAAGGGTGGGGAAGCCAGCAATAATTGCACAACATCCAGGACGATGATATCGTAAACGAAAGCCAGGAAATGAGAACAAGTGTGCCCAATTTTGTCGTCACCCCCATGAGAGCACTTGTGGCACACAACATCCAACACAAAAACCGAAAAACACCGTTGTAAAGTAAACAAAACACCTTCGCGTATATCCCCTCTCGAGTGAAATATTTCAAGAGCGGAATACATACCTGTCCCGTGATGTCAAGTGCCCTCCGAAGAGATAAAAAAACAAACAAAAACAGTCGTCGTCTAAGCAGCCAACGGCACCTCACCTCAACGGTGTACTCTCCGCCCGCCATGGCGGTGTCGCCGTCCGAGGGAGAAGTGACGGAGACGTAGGCTCCCATGTCGGTCGCGTCGGGCGCTTCCGTGGACGCGATCAGGGTGAAGTCGCCGGAGCAACCGTAGTCCGACTCGTCACTGGAGTCAGTCACCATCACCTGGGATGGTTGGGGCGAAGGGAACACCAGCACCTTTTGTCAAGCAGACCCCACTCGTAGGGGGGGGGGGGGGGGGGA